ATTTATATTTTCTTTCTTGATTGAATTTGCACATTCTAACTTTGAAAATTCTATTAAAAAGTTTTTAAATATCTATAATACTCGGTCGACAGATAATAGAAAGTGAAAGTAGATAATAGGTGCGAGTGATTTCTTTATAATTAAACAAAATCCTCTATGCACTACTAAAAAATGAGGCATCCTAGACGGAAAATTCCGTCAAGGATACACAGAATTCCGTCTAGGATGAGTATCCTAGATGGAATTCCGTCTAGAATACGTGTCTAGGAAATTTCAGTCTAGGATGTAGTATTCTAGACGAAAATTCCGTCTAGAATACGTCCTAGACGGAATATTCTAGACGAAACCGTCTAGAATATATCCTAGACGGAATAGTCTAGATGGAATTTTCGTCTAGAATACAACATATCCTAGACGGAAAAAATTTCCATCTAGGATGAGTATCCTAGATGAAAATTTTCGTCTAGGATACTCATCCTAGACGAAAATTGATGTTTTTAATTTTTTTTAAAAAAAAGTATCCTAGACGGAATTTGAGCATCCTAGACGAAATTTCCGTCTAGGATGCTATGCTACAGTAGTTTTTTTTGCAGAATCTACTTTGAATGCATGTACACAATATCGAACAACAAAAAATTATATTCATATCCAACACAATCTAATTATATTCCAATTTCAAATCCAATTATATTCAAATACTATATTCACCAAAATAGTAGAGAGATACATAAATTGTTTACAAACTTCTACATAAATTATTTACAATGACTATGACACTGTAGAAGCTTCTTCAACTCCTTCCCTATATATTTACTCAAGCCCTCTTCTTCTCCTTCTTCACCTTCTTTCTCATCATCCTGAGTGTAACATAAGGACACAAGCAATGCATCAATATATGTACAAACTGATCCATAAAGAAGACTCTTTATAAAAGATGGTGATTTTCTACTAGTCGAGACAAAAGGAAAGACAAAGAACTATTTAACAATGATGAGAATCAAGAAATAAGTATGAGCAATTACCTTGACAACAAGAAGTGGATTGTGCTCCATTGTCAACAAAAGCCTGAAAGGTAGAAAGAGCACTTAAGTACTAACACCATGCAATAACTATTTAGCATGAAGCATATACCAGGGAATTGAAGTATCTTTAAACATATAACATGACCTACAGGAAGGAAGAGTTAAACATGAGCACAAAAAATAACAAAAATGCACGAGGTGAAAACAATGCGAAGGTACCACTTACAACACGTGCAAACGCTTCAGGGTTGTGCTCTATTGCCGCCTCCCAATTTTCATCTATTCCTTTCTGCAGCTCAGAATAATAATCAGAAACATAAGAAATTGTGAGGGAAAAAAATGTTACCCAGTGCATGTTATGCAGTAAAACTTATTACAAATAATAATCAGTAAAACTTATTACAATATTAGGTTCTTTTTGACGAAGTCGTTGATGTAGTCTTATAGATTACAAATGATAATTAAACTTATTAGTTATTACACTTAAAGTCCTAGCAGTTTACAAACAAAGATCAAAGGTGTATGCACATATATACCAAAACATCTAACAAAGAAAATGATAAAGAACCATCTCATTCTATAGTTACAATAAAATCTTTCACTATATCTCCAGACCATGTTTTTTAAAGGGCCTTATTATTAGCAACTTTCTACCTTGCCCAGCAAAAAAATCACGTGGAGTTCTAATCAATTATGAAATCAGTACAATTTATACGAGTACTATGCTAAAAAATAGATAAGCTAGCTGGAGTTCTAATCAATTATGAAATCAGTACAATTTATACGAGTACTATGCTAAAAAATAGATAAGCTAGCTAAAAATGCCTAGCCGTTATAAGAAAGTACAATTTATACGAGTACTATGCTAAAAAATAGATAAGCTAGCTAAAAATGCCTAGCCGTTATAAGAACAATAGATCCTACTAATAGCTTACAACTTACCAGAAAATCAATGAACTGTGAAAACAAGTTAAAGACCAAACTTTAACAAAGTTTCTCAGGGTCTTAGTCGACCCCCTTGAGCTCGTAAACACATCATCAATCCCAGCAAACTGCAGCACCTTCTTCGGCACTCTCGCCGCCACAATCCCAACACCTTCAATGAAATCAAATTTTTTTTTTCAATAAATAAAGGATAATCTGATTAGTTAAGTTGCACTGGTCAGTATGTGAGAAACAGAGTTTATGTAAGTTGCAAAAAATCTGATTCAAAGATGATGACCCATAGGTTGCATGAACTCAATATATAAATCATTGATGACAATTATACTTTCCATCATGTATACTATATTAATTTGTTTTAGCAAGGTTCAAGTTAAAAAGTTAACACATACAATACAAATATGAAAGACATGGTACAAATTATTTATTAGATATTTCTCATCTCCTTCTGCTGCCAAAAATTAAAAAGCATCCATGAGCCATGAGATCTCACTATTCATAATCCCATGAGCATATACAACAAAAAAAAGTTGACTGTGCAAAAGCTTCATAAAATTCGGAAAGGACTCCGACAAGAGAGCTTTAGAGTACCTTTGGTGATGCAGCAAATGGGGACTGTCCTCGCACAAATTTATGTTATGCTTCACAATTTTTGAAGTTTGTATGCATGTATACCTAACAGAGGACTTTTGGAACTTGACCTCTATTACCTGAAAGAATAGATATGGGTAAAATCAAGTCACTAGCCACTAGTAAGATTTCATTCCACCTTGAAACCAAATTTGTGAACTAATTTCTCGAATACCCAACTTCCTAGATCAATATGGATTTTATTCTCGAGTAAAAAAAAGACCTCAATTCACACTGAAATTCTTCCTAAAGCTCAAATTACCATCATCAAATTAGCATCTAACAACAGGGAAACCCTAACCTCAATCCACACAGAATCACATTACAAAATTCTCAAAGAAAACATCAAAAGTCGATGAGGAATTAGGCTCAATTTTTTGTTCTTGGTTACTCTCAAGATTTCATGTTATAACAAGAAGATGTTTTAAGGCTAAATAGCACTTACATACCATATTGTTTCATCTACTTTTCACTTATATACCCCTATTTGCATTTGGTAGCAATAGAATACCCTAAAGCTTTTTAAAATTGCACTTATATACCCGTACTTGTTTTTTGTAGCACATATATATACTAAAGTTATTAAAAATTACACTTTGATGCCTTAAAGTTTTTAAATTGGCACTTTAATATCCTATAATTTTTTAAATTTGCACTTAAATACACTCAAGTCGCATAACCGAGGGTATTTATGTGCAAGTTTTAAGAACTTTAGAGTATTTAAGTGATAGTTCAATTCCGTCACAAATGCACATTCGTGACGCCCAATTGTCCGTCACCAATAATCCTCTCGCCAATACACATTGGCGACGGGGTCAACTGTCACTAATGTACATCGGCGACGGGGTGCTTTCTGTTGCCAATGTGTTTTGGCGACTACGAGATTCCCATCACCAAAAAATGATGGATGTATGAGTGCAAGTTTAAAAAAGTTTTTAAGTTTTTTTTATCTTTTTTGCTACCAAATATTAGTTAAGATATGCGAGTGAGAAGTAGGTAAAACATCAGAGTATATAAGAGCTACTTAGCCAATGTTTTAATTTGTCCATTAATGATAATATTCTTGACGTACCTTTTTATCACCTTACTCCTTTTACTCATTTTTTGTGCTCACCCCACTTTTCTCACTAGCCACGAGCCACAATTCCCAATTTTGGCTTCATCTGAAAAGGGATGGCCAAACTCCATTAAACAAACACTCTCCCTAACTTCGTACAACTCACCCAACTTAAAAAATTCCATACACTTTAACACGTGTCCTCCGTGATTTGGCCCTCGTTTGCTCTTTATTATTCGAAACGTGAAGCCACCTCATTCATTTTGCGGCTAGGCACCAAGAAACGTGCCCGAGACACAAGTTCTGACGACAAAGGTTCAGGCCGGGCCGCATCAAAGTCAGCCGCAAAAAGTGCGGTTTAGCCTTTGATGTTGGCCGGTGCATGTGGTTCATTGAACTTCTGTGATGTTATAAAGTCTGGGTATGAGATGTGTCCTAACCTTTCTGTCTCATTATGGGCGCGCTTTCTTCTGCTGCCACGTGGACGTATGTGGCATCCCCTTTTGTGTTGGACCTATCTCGGGGGTTTTCAATGTTAGCACCAATAATAATAATAATAAATAGCAATAAATGAAAATAAATAAGATAAAATCTTTCGCCCCCACCCTCTTAATATTTTCAAAACTAGGCCCCAGAGCTTTATGTATTTTGAACTTAGTCCCTCATATTTCATATTTTGAAATTAGTACCCGGAAATTTGAAGTAATTTGAAATTGCTCCCCCACTAAATCTTGTAACCGCTTGCTAGCTAGAAGGACTGATTTAAAACATTTGAAACATTCGGGAAACTAATTTTAGCGCATGAAGATTCAGGGGGGCTAATTTTAAAACACCTAAAAACTTACGGGATTAATTTCAAAATATTAATATTTGGGAGAGTAATTTCAAAATATGAAAGTGTTGAGGGACCAACATTGAAATCAACGATCCATCTATCTATCTTTATATTTATTCTATATCACTAGTAGAAAAACGACCAACCTAGACGGAACAATCTAGACGGAAATTTTTTCCGTCTAGATTGGATCAAAGTAGACGGAAAAATTTCGTCTAGATTGGATCAAAGTAGACGGAAAAATTCCGTCTAGATTGTTCCGTCTAGTTTGGAGCAAACTAGACGGAATTTTCCGTCTAGTTTGACAAACCCAGACGGAACAGGCAATCTAGACGGAAATTCCGTCTAGGTTGAGGAAACCTAGACGGAATTTCCGTCTAGGTTTCCTAGGGCAGTTTTTACCCCTACCAGCCGCCACCCCCTCCCATTTCTCTCAATCTCATCCACCCGACCCCCCCTTGTTCGGTCTCCCCCCCGACTCCCCCCCTCCTCCGGCCTCCCCCCCGCCCCTCGACGCCCGAGTTGACGAGGTTCATTTCACAGCTCTCCTCATGTATTGGGACAGCGATGCCTCCAAGGTTAGTTTCATGAAAATTACTTTATACTTTTAAGATATTAATTTATTGCATATTTGCTAATTTTTTTCTTTTAAAAAAGAATAAATCCACGAAGGGGTCAGAAAATAGAAGAAAGAAGCTGCATGACCACCACTTGGGCTCACACTCCTATGCCAATCTGGAGGATGTTTATTGTCAGGATACGGTAGATTTCCGTCTAAAGTTTTGATGAATTTAATGATTAGTATGATTATGAGTGTGATAATATATAATATGACAGGGAAAATCATTAATGCCAATACACTTGAGGGCGAAAGCGGCGTATGGCATTTTCCGTGATAGATATAGGGGTGATGAGAAGAATCGAGATAAGATCAAGGCAAATCTCGAGTTGGTGGTGAGAGTTATACATATCTTGTGTAGTATTATTAATTCTATTTTGTTGTTAATATTATGAGGAAATGAGAACACAAATAACATTGTCTTTACCATGAATTAATTATATATTTGTGCTTTAGGAGGGATTTGAGGCTGCATCCAAGGAGGCTGCAACTGTGTATATGTCGCAGCAGGAGGAACAATCTGAGCCGGACCCTCACATGCTTTCTGCAGAGGACAACATTACTCTCACACAGCATTTGATGGGTCATAATAGGTATGGATGTAGAAAATTTGAATCAATTTGAATACTACATTCCTATTTATATTTTTTTATCATTATTGAATTCGAGAGGTAAATTTAATATTTATTTCTCCCTAAACATAGGAGAGGGAGATATCCTCTGCATGGTGTTGGAGCTTCACCCGGCGTAAGCATGAGGTCATCCACAGCATCCTCCACAGCATTTACATCCATGAGAGCAGCCCCGCCTCGGTTCCAGGCTATGCCATTTGTCGCACGTATCTCTGCATATTTGCTTGACAAGATTGACTCGGAGCTACATATCCAGGTGACTAATGAGATGACAAGAGTTGCGCTGACGGCGAACTCGATGGATGATCTCCTGGGGTATGTCATGCAATATTTAAGCGGTGCGATTCCTCATAGCGCGTATGGTGGTGTTATACGGATTATAAGCTCGCTTGGCGATAATTCCGGTGCTGGTCAGAGCAGCACTCAGGTACCTTATTTTTTTCTTAAAATAATAAATTCATTTATATTTAATATGTATTAAACACTCCTTAATGATTATTCAATTGACCATTCAGAGTGGAGATATTGGAGGGAGCAGCACACGTTCTCGTAACCAGGATAGAGATACTGCCGACGACGACGACCGATGAGGTTTATGCGGTTTTTTGTACATTTTTAATGCAATGAACAGCTTTATCTGTTATAACAATACTTATATGCTTGTTGGATGTATATATTAGACGGTCTTGGTTGATGCATATTTTGAAGTAGATAGTTGGATTTGTTTATTATGCTGGAATTGATTATATTATGGCTGGATCTGTGCATTATGTTGGATTTGAATATTTTTGGGTTTGAATGGAATTGTCTAAAATCTTGATTATATTTGGATGGTTGGATGTATTCATATATACAGTATTTATTGTATGTATTCATGTATTGGTGTAATTGTACAGGGAAATACAAATTGTAATATATTTTTTTTGCTGGAAAAATAGCAACCTAGACGGAATTCCGTCTAGACTGTACCAACCTAGACGGAAATTCCGTCTAGGTTGCAATAATCAACCTAGACGGAAA